AGCCAATTGTGTGGGTGCTTGCTGGTGTTCTGGTGTGGTTTGCTCCTTTTTTCCTATCAAACATCATGTATAGTCCTTATCTCTTCTCCTTCTTTTGTTTGTATTTTACTTTCTTGTACCTCCTCAAATCTTCAGCTTTTATATATGACCTATTTGTGTTAAGTGCCATAAAACTCTAACAAAAACTAAAAACTGAAATACCCCCTCCAATGTTGAGACAGTTTGTCTATGTCTCCCTGCAGGTTCCCTTACATTACTACAACATGTACCCAAATATCACCAACGATGGAAGACGGATATTTTCAGGTATTGCAAATCTTGTCTGGCCTTCCTCTCTGTCACTTTCCTGCTATTTTTAGAATTTTTGTTTAACGCCTCTTCCTATACAGACTGTTTTAGGAGTTCACGCAGACTCGATGTTGAAGGCGGGTGATTGGCGGGCGCTCTGGTATGGTTTGCTCCTTCTTTCTTATCAAACCTCTATCGTTCTTATCTCACCTCCTTCTTTTCTTCTTATGATACTTTCATGCCGCACTTCTAATCTTCAGCACTTGTGTAACTTATTTATGTGGCAAGTGCTGTAAAACTCTTGCCAAAGCTAAAAGCTAAAGAGTGAAGGAAAAGTATCATGATCATTTCATCGTAATATGGAACAAGGTTAAGCGTACAGACATTTAATATCTCACGCTAAAGAAAAAAATCTGTGATTTTATCTCTGGCATAACTTGTTAGACTCACCCATCATATCTCTCTCGACTCATCTCTAAATATAGAACAGCTCATCTTTCATATTACGTATGATGTATCTTAATACAGAACAACTCTCCTACCATAGGTCTCACAGTGTATCTAAATGTGGAATAGCTCACCAGTTATCTATCTCTCACGATGTATCTAAATATAATAGAACAATTCACTTGTCATATCTCTCACAATGTTTGTTTCCTCCTAATCTTCTATATTTTGTTTTCCTCATCTATGCTTTTTCTTCCCTAATAGTAATTCCTAAATATAAAATAGCTCTCTCCCCATGACGCACACCCCCCGCCGTGTAACATTTCCCTCTCTCACTCTCTCTCGGACAGGCATGGTGACGGCCGCGGACGATGTGGTGGGCCGACTGGTCAAGGTGCTCAAAGACAGGGACATGTTTGATGACACCATCTTCTTCTTCACTGCCGATGTGAGTCATTTATTTATTTATTTATTTACATTTATTTATTTATTTATACATTTTTTATTTATTCTTTTATTTTTAAACCTATTTTTTTTTTTGGGGGGGGGGGGATTGTTCGTTTTGAGGAGTTTTCAAGGCTCTCAACCCATTATACTGACTCTGTCCTGTCAGAGATGGATATTCAATTCAGAGGTCCCCCCCTCTTCAATAACCTTATAGTGTTGATAGGGGTGTCAAACCCATACACACACATCAATGTCTCGTGTAAGGATTTCTACAAAATGGTGGCTGGATATCGTACCATATCTCACTGATTATTTTTGGTTGTGCTGATGTCTCATTTTGATCACCTCTATAGAAAGGTCAGTTTGTTAGTGTTTGAGCGCTTAACCAGCTGCTTGCACTGCATACTTCCTGGGAAGCTGAGAATGTTTCTGAGTGTTCTATGGTCTGCTGGGGTAATAAAATAGTGTAAAGCGCATAGAGCTTGCTTTCGAGTGGGGACATGCGCTATACAAGCTACAAATGCTATTTATTATTTGTTATTAAAGGTACTGTCCCATATCACACTGGTTACTTTTGTTCGTATTGACGTCTTGTGCGGTCACCTCCACAGAATGGTGGCTGGATACCGTACCACGGGAACAACTTCCCACTGAGGGGAGGCAAAATCACCATCTGGGAGGGTGGCACCCGCGTGCCTGCTTTTGTGCACGGGAAACCTCTACAGAAGACTGGAGTGAGATATGATGGGTAAGCTGTTCTATATATGGAAACATTGTGGGTGGTATGACAGGTGAGCTGTTCTGTATTTAGATACTTCGTGGATATTATGACGATGATGATGATGACACTGATAACAGTGATAGTGATGGCATTTCATAATGCATTGTCAATGATGATGACTACATAAGCATTGTAATAACATTTTTAAAAGTGTTGATTGGGGTGTAAAACTTCTACAATTACATTCTATTATGATGACTGCGATCATAATGTTGGCAATGATGGTGATTTAGTAAACAAAAATAATGTTAATAGTGGCTTTGGTAATGATGTTGCTAATATTAATGATGTTGTCAATGATAATGACAATGATGCTGAGGATTCTGCTACTTGTGTGTGTTTCAGACTGATGCATGCAGTCGACTGGTTCCCCACGATTCTGGAGGCAGCGGGAATAAGTTACTCTGGTGAGGTTTTGTTGTGTCTTTTGGAGAGGATGGGGGGATGGGAGGGGTCAAAGGTGTGTTCGTTTGAGTGTTCATGTGGCTTCTGTTGGAATGTTTACATGTGCGTGTTTGTGTGTGTATGTGTGACTATTATGGCTTTGTTGATATAGTACTCTAAAAATTTTACTTGTCTTTAATTCACATAACCTTTCTCTACTCTGCAATTGGGCATTTTCAAAAAGTTCAGAAGCATATTTGTCATTTTACTTGTGATAAAACATACCTGTACTACCAACTCTTAGTCTCTTACTGATGTCATATAATAATTTTACTTGTTATAGATCTGGATAGATAACAACAAAAACACTGGATTAATAATCGCGTAATGGATTGCTCTGGTCCAACAATTTCCCTGGGTGGCTGGTGGGCGCTCTGATATGGTTTGCTCCTTCTTTCCTATCAAGCATCTATCGTCATCTCTCCTCCTTCTTTTCTTTGTATGTTACTTTCTAGCAACACCTCTAATCTTCAGAACTTTATGACCTAATTGTGCTGCAAGTACTGTAAAACTCTCACTACAACTAAAGCACAATATCCTTGCCTGTGGCCGCCCAGACCCGCACAGAGACGGGATCAGCCAGTGGCAGTCCATCACGTCACTGTCCGCCTCCAGACGCTCCGAGTTTGTCTACAACCTGGACAACTACACCACTCCCAACCAGGGACACGCAGCCATCAGGTGAGTCACGCTGTAGTATAATAGTCATATTATGAGTCACCACGCCGTATAATAGTCATATCATGAGTCACAAAAATTGTATCAAAGTCATGTGGTGAGTTACAGTGTCGGGCCTGTGTGGTGAGTCATGCCATATCAGGGCCATGTTGAATAGGTTAGCAGTGAGTGTTTGGATTATGTGTGAATGTATTGGGACATAGATGTGTGTAAATGAGCGAATAGGTTAGTGTTTCGGATTATGTGTGAATGTACTGTGACACAGAAATGTGTGTGTTGAATAGGTTAGTGTTTGGAATATGGGTGAGTTGAGTGTGTTGTGTGACACAGATGGGTGTATGACGAGTAGGCTAGTGTTTGGGTTGTGTGTGCAGAAATGTGTGTGTGTTTGTGTGTGGATTATGTTAGCGCTTGGGTTATGAGTGTGTTGCAACATAGAAATATCTGTGTGTGAAATATATATATATATATTATATATATGTAAGCATTTAGTATTTAGGTCATTGGTGAGTGTATTTCTGGTTACAGAGTGGGTGACTTCAAACTGATCGTAGGTTACCCCGGCCTGTACAACGACTGGTACAAACCGGAGGAAGACTGGCCGGGACCCACGCCCAGCTCGGACTACTCGGACCTGGACTTACAAATGGACCCTCACACCTACTCCAACTGGACCAAGTTCAGGGGTCTCTACAACATCAAAGGTGAGGGATGGATGTGGGGAGGGGGGGGGGGGTAGCGGGTGCTCTGGTGTGGTTTGCTTCTTCTTTCCTATCAAACATCTATCGTCCTTATCTCCCCTTCTTCTTTTTTATGTTTGTTACTTTCTTGTAACACCTCTAATCTTCTGGCGCTCATATGACCTTATGCAGTGGCGAGCGCCGTAAAACCTCTACTAAAACTAAACAAAGGGGAGGGATTTTTTTTTTGGCCCGGGGGGGGGGGGGGGGGGGAGTGGAAATGAAAGCAGATGAAAGTACATGACTTTAGAACAGGGAAGGAGGTGGAAGGAGAACATTTTCAATAAAAAAATTTTTGCCAGCACTGTTAGGGTTTGAACCCAGTACCTTTTGAATAAGAGGCAAACACCTTACCTCTAGACCACATGAGCCCCTTCTTGTAAGAAACTCAATTACTGGTACTATGTGTTGTATGTGTATGTGTATTACTCAGATTACCAATATAAACACAACTTGTAGCTCACCACAATATGTTGTTTGTGTGTATGTGTATTATACAGATGAACTATTTATGAACACAAAACTTGTACAATACCCTCTAACCACAATATGTTGTGCGTATGTGTATTTCACTGATTACTCGTATGAACACAACATTGTGTAAGAAACCCTCTAACAGTGGGCGACACTCTAACCACAATATGTTGTGCGTATGTATTTTACAGATGACCCGTACGAACACAACAACTTGTACGACAAACTCCCAGAGGTTGTAGAAAAGCTCAAAGCGCGGATGTCCCACTACTACACAATGATGGTGCCGGCTAACTACCCACCCAATGACCCCAAAGCTGACCCCAACAACTTTGACCTCTGGTGGCAGCCAGGCTGGTGTTGAGAGGTCAAGAGGTCATCTCTGTGCTCACTGAGGAGGTGTATTTGTCACACCTGACGTATTTGTGAGCACTCTTTGCGTACTGTTTTCTGAGAGGAATCCGAAGATTATAATCACCCAAAATCATATTGTTGAGATGGGAAGAGGCAGTATTATTGTTGATATTGTTACTGGTATTATTTCTAATGCTATGATCTCTATTATTAATGTTACAGTTGCAATATTTGTATTATTGGATTTTATTTTAAAATTTTTCATTTTTGACAGACTGTCAGAGCAGGTGATAAACTTATATTTATATTCATTGTTATAATCATTTATGAAATGCTTCCTTTCTAATGTCTTTTGGCCTGGCTACTGAAGTAACATTATATTTTTCTGGTCATAGTAGACTTTATTTAACTCGTAAATCTCGTTACCATAAAAGGATTTCATATCCCAAGGGTATTTTTTTCTACTTTTTAGTCTATGCACTGTTAATTCCGTAACATGAAATCTGCTTAGCTCAAAGAAATTCATTGGTTAAGGGAAGTTCATAATAATATTATCAGGTTTTACTATGTGAGAGATACTGGACTTCAGATCAAGTGTGATGTGATTGAGAAGAAAACAGAAGGTTTTACTGTGTTTGCTGAGTGTTAGTTCTCTGTGACTGGGGAAATTTGACCTCTGGGCCAATCTTTCCAGTTTAATGATGTCATGAGTGCAAAGAAAATTGTGTTGCTTGTTTTGAGATTTTTGTTTTTAACCCATGCTTTTTGTTTAATTGTTTCAAGTAATGATACTGTGTATAGTAACTTCACCTGATTATAAAAATCTCTTTACTGATCTGTGGAAGTACCTTATGCTGACTCTGTAGTTTAAAGTGCCATACTCTGTCTACTTTTATGTTTTCTATTTCAAAGAGCAATAATTTTTTAATTGCCCTGTTAAAAATCTTACTTCTTGTTTAAAGGTGCTACTCATGGCCAGTAATCTTTTAATTTTACTTTCTTCAGATTCACTTTTTGATAGCTTTAAGTTTGAGATGTTTTTGTTTTTCAATTGGGGATTCATTTACATTATCTTGTAGTCCACAAACGGGAAGGTTGGAGAACAGTCAATCTCCTGTGACGTTGGCCTTCCCTTGCTACAAGTGTATGCAATATTCTTGGGGGGGGGGGGGGGGGGGGGTCATTCCTCAAGAGTTTGGAGGTGGGTGGGGTCACAAATTCAGTAAGTTTGGAATATTCTACGGCCCCTATGATGTCCCCCCGATTTCCCAAGTGTGTGCAATAATCTGTACTTGTGTTTGGTCAGTCTGTGTGATGACTGCAGACCTCTCAACCAAGTCTGTCTTGAAAAGCGTCAACGTTTTTTACATGATTTATTTTTGTTTTACAATGATCTACTCAAAAGAGTCTTTTAAAATATAATCTTTACTTGTGATTTAAAAGATCTTCCAATGCAAGTTTACTATGCACAACATTGGTTTTATATTTTTTTATGACTGCTGATAATGTTATTGGAATGTTCTTTATTTTGTGTTCCTTTTGCTGAGTACGTCAACTCACAAGATTCATAATTTAGCTCGAGTATCTAGACCTCTCTCAACACAATGAATAACAACCCAGTCATGAGGGCCTTGAATGAAAGAGAGGCATGGAGAAACAAAAACACCAATGTCTGCTCCTTCTTAACCCTATCCGTATGTAGTGTTTCATTATCGTATCCCTACGACATGGGGAACTCTGTGCCACCACTTTCAAAGAGGAAATTACTCATTAATCCGATCCGTATGCTTTACATAGCAGTCTGTCAAAATGATTTTTTGAGAAATACAGAAAGTTTTAAAGAGATCTTTGTACTAGAAATATTCTAAAATGTGAAGAATACAACCCCAGGAGTACAAAATGATCCCAGGGCGTACGGATAGTGTTAAGTATCAAGGGATTGACACATCCCTTTTATACCCCTGTGTTGTGTTGTAAGGAGCGGAGCGTCTCTTTACACAACAAACTATTTTTCTCCGTTATTTACTTCTGATGTTTGAGCTTTGTGAAAGATATAATTTTATACTGATAAATAATTGCATTTATATATATTTATCTATGTCCTTTACAACTATTATGTTACAATGTTGACATTATTTTAATGAATAATCAAGGCCTGATAATCACCTAATATTATTTTCATTATTAATTGAGCCCGAAGAATGACCTGGTATTATTTTAATGATTCACTGAGCCCTGAAGATGACTGTAGTTTTACTCAAACAGGACATTCTAATTCTATGAAAAATGTTGCAGAGCTATGTTGTGCTGGGCTGCTGTGTTGTGCTATCAGGTTGTGCTTTCCCCCAACTTTCCCTTCTACAATACTCAGAAATCTTCCTGAACACATAATATGTTGTCCATTCACTCACTCTACTTCTCTACGATTTACCTCCAGTCTTCTGGGAAATCTTTAATGATCAGAGATCATGAGCAGAAAGTCTGCTTCCTTACATGCTACAATACTATTGTATAAGAAAAGAAAATACTAATACGTTTTCCAGTATTAGGAAGTGGTTCAAAGCACATTCCATAAATAAAAGTCTACATGTATGTACACTGTATACTACAAAGTACTGTGTGGATAATCAAAGTTTATGCGTCACAATTTTTATGCTTTCTTTTATATTTTTAATTGGGATGGTTTTCTTATCATGCTACTTTGGTTTATTTGAGCATAGTTTTGGTTTATACTGTGAAAGAAAAATTTTCTAAGTTTGGTTTAGTTTGTGAGTAGGCCTACTTACCATATAGTTTGGTTTATGTTGTTAGTTATCAGTTTATATACACATATAAATAGCTTGGTTTATATTGTAACTTAACAGTTAAGTATACATGTAGTTTTGTTTAGTTTGAGAGTTAGGACAATCTACTTGTCACAGTTTCTGTAGTTTGGATTATGTTGTGAGCTTGGACTGTGTCTGCCATTGGCGCCTTGACTGACTAGTACAGGAGGCAGGACTGATTGTTGTAGGAAGCGCACAAAATAGGAATGTTTGGATTCAGAATTAATAAAGTAAAAGTCATTTTTGCACAAAAAAAGGTGTTAAAAGAAAAAAATCTTTTTCTTACATGTTTCTGCTTTGATGGAAAAGAGAATCTGTTCACTTGATTGATCGATATTGAACATTAAATAAATCTTGCTATTGATTGATACCGATGTCCTTGTTTGATATTCTTATGCAAATGCCTGGGTAGCTCAGTGGGTTACAGACTTGGTCTGCCTGGTGTGTAACAGTGTTCAAAGCTCGAGTTTGCAATCTGAGTTACACTTCATAGTGGGTGGTTGGCGGGTGCCCTTGGGGGGTTTCCTTCTTTTTTCCTATCAAGCATCTATCGTCCTCATCTCTCCTCCTTCTTTTTTTTTGTGTTTGTTACTTTCTTGTAATACCTTTAATCTTCGGCACTTATATGACATTATTGTGTTGCAAGTGCTTTAATACTCTTACTAAAACAAACAAACAAACAAAAACGAGTTACATTGTGTGCCTGAGAAAATTGGGCGCTTTGTAATTTCCGAGGATTTTAACAAAACAGTTATAATAGTTAGAAGTAGGCTGGGGGGGGGGGAGTAATGCTCCGCCGAAAGAAGAGAACTGGAGCAGCAAATGTTAATTTTGATTACCACAGAACGCTGAAGATGGTGATGAGTGATGACGATACATACATGATAAGATTTATGACGTTTGAAAAGTAACCAAGGGAAGTAAGTGTTAGATATTGTGAAATGTTAACTTTTTTTGGGGATCGAGTTATGTCTCTTTGGCAGTCTCCCAATTTCTGCCAAAAAACAGGGAAATCTTGGTGTCATATTTCTTCTTCAAAGAGCGCTATACGGCTTTTTAAACTACACATATTATTATACGACAAACGAATGTGACATGTTTTAGGAAGTGATGTATCGTATATTTTCTCAGCTCTATTTATACGATGGATGATGTAAGATTCCATTTCCGAGCCGCCAACATTAGCCGTCTCATATTACATATTCCCCTACCTCAACCCCCCCCCCTCCTTCCATCATTCTTCACGCTTGGCTTTACACCCACACACCCCTCCGCCCTCCACCTCCCATCCCCAAAATGAGATAGCATTTTTAAAAATCAGCATCGTTTGCCTCATCATAAATATACACACCTATCTTCACTCTCATTGCATCACATTTACACCCAGCTGTAAATTTGTCGTTATAGTAAATATGGATCAAACCGATACATTTGTATAGGCCTACAGAAAAGTGGGAAGAAATAAAAATAACACCATGAAGCTGGCCTAGTGTAGGGAAAGGTGGAAAGAGCTTGTTCGTGGCCTATACCATGTGGGTGAGAAAGGCAATAATGATGAAATATACCGAACGTTATATTCTTTGCACTCACAAGTAGCATGTACAGTGTTAGGGATACACGGTGCTGCAAAAAAAAAAAATGCATTAAAATGGCAAGTAGATCTGCATTATATTTTGATTTGCTGACTCTAAATGATATTTCAGTGTGCATTGGGCGCTTCTTTATCTGCGTCGGTAGTGTAGCGGTATAAACGCTTTAGCTGTCGCATGCAGAAGACCTGAATTTGATTCCCGTGAGGAGGCGCTATTTAATTCTGATTATTATGTTCATTCATTTCTTTTATAATCGAGTATCTCCGTCTACATGTTGGGACGTTGTAGGCCTATCTCTCTTAGCTGTGTTTGGCTTTGATAGACAGAGTAGCAAGATTGTCTAAAATAGTGTTGACATGGCGTAAAACACTCACAATTTCTGTTTGTATTATATTATACATATTATCTTACTATATTCGTATATATACATAGGCCTATTAGTATTGAACTATTAGGCTGTTGTGACTTTAATCCCCTTTTTGTACAACTCTCCGCCTGTATCCAAATGTCAGCCGTTGTAATGTGTATATTCTGCTTCCCCCCGCGAGGTCGGAAAGGTGAAGCTGCTCTGTTGCACAAATCAAAAGGCTCATATATCACGTTACATGTAGCAGGCGTCAAAAGAAGATAACGCTGACCATTTGTGAGCCTTGCACTTTACGGTGTGGTGAGGCAAATATATTATATTAACATTAGCTGTACAGGCCAACCAGGGGTTGGGCCAACAGAGGAACTGGGCAGGACAGCTCAGTATAATAGTAGGATGAAAATCGAAGTTCAAGTTTGAGAAGAAGAAGAAGAAGAAGAAGAAGAAGAAGAAGAAGAAGAAGAAGAAGAAG